TAGGACTGATGACATCACCATGCCAAATAACCGGTGCATAGTGGAACAGCGTGTTAACTGTCTAAAAAGAAAATTTGAAAGGAATAAATCTTATCAGGAGGAGTACACAGCGTTTCTCTCACAGATGATTGACTGCGGATATGCTGAAGTGGTGCCTAAAGACCAGCTGGATTGTAAAGAAGGCCATGTGTGGTATCTCCCTCATCATGGGGTGTATCACCCAAGAAAGAAATCTCTAAGGGTGGTTTTTGACTGTGGAGCTGGATTTAAAGGAACATCTTTGAATTATCAGTTGTTGCAAGGTCCTGACTTTACCAATTCACTTTTTGGTGTTTTAACAAGATTCAGACAGGAGAGCATCGCCCTGATGACCGATGTCCAGGCTATGTTTCATCAAGTGAGGGTGTCGAAAAGACACGTGGATTTCCTTCGTTTTTTATGGTGGCCAGAAGGAGATACGACACAAAGCCCACTGGAACATAGAATGAAGGTGCACATCTTTGGAGCTGTCTCGTCACCAAGCTGTGCAAGCTATGCTTTAAGGAGAACTGCAGCAGACAACAAGGATGACTTTCAAGCTGAAGTGATTGAGACCATATACAACAACTTTTATGTGGATGATTGTTTAAAGTCATTGCCTTCAGAGAAGGAGGCTATAAAGTTGGTTGCAGATCTCACCGAGTTGTGCTCAAAGGGAGGATTTCGACTGCTCAAATGGACTAGTAACAGTCGGGTTGTATTGTCGTCCATTCCTGAAGAAAAGCGATCCAGAACAACCAGGCAGCTGCACCTGGAACAAGAGCAGCTACCCATGGAGATGGCACTTGGACTGAATTGGTGTGCTGAAAGTGACACTTTTACATTTAAACCTGCAGTGGAAAGACGGCCACATACTAGACGCGGCATTCTATCAATTGTTGGTTCCATATATGACCCATTGGGTTTTTTTATCTCCTTTCACCTTGCTGCCAAAGTTGCTGTTGCAAGAAATGTGCCGAAGAAACTTGTCTTGGGATGAGCCTATACCACAGACACTTCTACAACAATGGACCGGATGGCTGTCGGACTTGGAGAAGGTGGTGAAGCTCAAGGTGAGCCGCTGTATCAAGCCAAGGGGCTTTGGAAGATCTGCCAGTGCACAGCTACATCATTTTGCGGATGCTAGCAGCTATGGTTATGGCACAGTGTCCTACCTAAGGCTGGTGAGTCAAGAGGAGCGAGTGCATGTTGCCTTTATGTTGGGCAAAGCCAGGGTTGCGCCATTAAAACAGACAACTATCCCTCGTCTTGAGCTCACGGCTGCAGTGTTGGCTGTTAAGGTCGATAGAATGTTGAAGAAGGAGTTGTTGCTGCAATTGGAGGAGTCCCACTTCTGGACAGACAGTCAGACTGTGTTGAAATACATCAACAATGAAACGAAACGCTTTCATACCTTTGTTGCTAACAGAGTGGCTGCAATACGGGAAGCAACAAGTCTCAGCCAGTGGAAGTATATCAGCTCCAAGAACAATCCCGCTGATGAAGCCTCCAGGGGTCTGAGTGTGGATAACTTTCTTGCCTGCAAGAGGTGGTTGGAGGGTCCTGACTTTCTCCAAAGAACGGAAAAGGATTGGCCAAGACCTTTGGAGCCGCAGTCCATCTCTTTAGACGACCCAGAGGTCAAAAGGGACGTCCTGGTAAACGTGATTACGTACACAGAAGATGCGACCTCTAAGCTCATGACTTACTTTTCTGACTGGTCTAAACTTAAAGTCTCTGTGGCTTGGTACTTAAGGCTCAAATCTATTCTTTTGGAGCTGAGCAGAGAAAGGAAGTTGATTCTGGCTTCTTTAGATCCTACTGGCTCATCTTTGGAGGAGAGGATGAGAGAGGTTAGAGGAGCAATTGGTAAACAACCACTTTCTGTGAGTGAGCTCTCTAAAGCCGAAGCTGCTATTATACATTTCAGTCAGCAAGTAACATTTCAGGAAGAAATCTCAATGTTGAAAAGTGGAGCATCGTTTGTGAAGAAAACAAGCAACATTTACAAATTAGATCCAGTGCTCAGTGACGATTTGTTGAGAGTAGGTGGAAGACTTGGCCGTGCAGCTTTGCCTGAAGAGCTCAAGCATCCTGCGATTCTTTGTAAGGGGCAACATATATCTAGTCTCATTTTGCGGTCCATACATCAACAGCTTGGGCATGCTGGACGGAACCATATGCTCTCGACTTTGCGGCGCAAGTATTGGGTTACCAACGCCAACTCTGCTTGCCGGAGAATAATATCTGAGTGTGTGGTCTGTAGAAGACATCGTGGACAGCCAAGTGAGCAGAAGATGGCTGATCTGCCCAGTGAAAGAATAAGTCCAGATCTGCCTCCCTTTACCAACGTCGGGGTGGATTATTTCGGACCCATTGAAGTCAAGAGAGGGCGTGCTATGGCCAAAAGATATGGGGTCATTTTCACCTGTATGGCCAGTAGAGCTGTGCATTTGGAGGTTGCTTACACTCTGACCACGGATTCTTGTGTCAATGCTATTAGGAGATTCATTTGTCGAAGAGGTCAGATCTGCAGTCTACGATCAGACAATGGTACCAACTTTGTTGGTGCAGAGCGAGAGTTAAGAGAAGCTTTAGCAGCCATTGATTACAGCAAGATTCATGGCGCTCTCATAAAAAGGGGCATCAATTGGATTTTTAACACCCCGGCTGCATCACATCATGGCGGCGTTTGGGAGCGACTCATTAAGATAGTCAAGCGAGTTCTGTATTCTGTTCTGCAGCAACAGTCTTTGGATGACGAAAGCTTCCATACCATTCTGTGCGAGGTGGAAGCTATTCTGAATGACCGTCCGATAACCAAGGTGTCTGACGATGTTAACGACTTGGAAGCACTCACACCTAACCACATCCTTTTGCTAAAAGGAAAACCTGTTCTTGCCCCTGGAATCTTTCAAGCGAATGATCTTTACATTAGAAGACGATGGAGACAAGTCCAGTATCTTTCAGATCTGTTCTGGAAAAGGTGGATAAGGGAGTACCTGCCATTGTTACAGGAACGTCAAAAGTGGGCGAGGCCGCAAAGAAGTTTTGTAATGGGAGACATTGTCATCATTATGGATCACACTGCTCCGCGTGGATCATGGATTATGGGAAGAGTGACAAAGACTTACCCAGACAAGAAGGGCTTTGTACGTGCCGTGCAGTTGAAGACTAAGACAGGGCAGTTGGAGCGCCCTATTTCCAAGCTTTTCCTGTTGCAAGAAGCTGTGTAATGGTCATGACCCAACGTTGGTTAACATCCTATCCAGAAGAAAGAAGATCTGAAGACTTTTTGTGTGTCTCCCTGTTTTTGCAGTTTAATTGGTCACACTTTCCCAATTAGGGGCCGGTGTGTGGGAGCCATTAGTTATTGTTGATGTTGTGGTGGTTGTCTACACTAGAGGGCAGTGTGCTTGTGCTACAGTATCCAAGTTCACGGTGGCACAGGCGCGCCAGCTAATTAATACACAGGTGTAGCGGGTGGGGAATTATGCTAGGGTGGCGGGGAGATCACACGGTTTTTACCGCTGGCACGCCACAGCTAGATTAGTCCTCACGTTTGCATATACTTTGAACTCTGTAAACTATATTTTTTCTATTAAATGGGAACACCACCCAAAGACGCTAAACGTTGTGGACTTTAAATTCATCCGAAGTGGACAAATAGCGCGTCAAAAACAGGATCTAGCCCTCACCCTGCTGAGTGTCTGATTAATGTTAAGACAGTCACTACAACCCTTATTCATCGTCTGGTGTCGTTTAAAAACATTTGAAGCTGCATCTGAAACTGTTATTAACTGTCGTTTGGACCTCGGTTGCACGGTAAACGTGAATACGCCTCTTTCGCGTTAAGCACGAATGATTTAGTTGGTGCTATTTGTGCACTCACGCGATTGACACGAATTCGCATCTGCCGCCCGAGTTGAAAAATCTGAACTTTGGCGTCAATTCGCGCCGCGGTCGTGTCTAGACGTGAGAGAAAAAAAAATCACAGGACAGGTTAATAACTTTTGGAGGCTGGCTCTATTTATCCTCAAAACAAAAATAAACGACAGATTAGAGGGTGATCCGACGCGGGACATCCGGATCCGAGTCGTCATCCAGGCGCAGCTTCTGGATCAAATGGTGAAACTCTCCAAACTGGGTTCGCCTCCGAAGGGTCCGGTGGACACAAATACGGCGACGATGATCCCCACGCCGCTGCCAGAGCAAATACAGACTCTCTCGATGAATGCTCGATTGACATAAAAAAGATGGCCGCTAACGGGTTTCGATTCCGACGAGTGTAAAATTTCGCTTCAAACTTTTGTTTTTACACGTGTCAATTTCGCTCTTGACGCGCGAATGGATTCAAGCGTGTAACTAGACGCAGTAGGCGCGAATTTGACGCGCTGTGAACGCACAGTAATGCCAGAGTACCGCTGAAATTTAAAGTGATAGTTCACCAAAAAATATTTGACTATCTTTGTTCTGCTGAACACAAAAAAATATATATATTTTGAAGAATTTCTGATCCCCATAGTTTTTTTTTTCCCCTACCATGAAAGTCAATGGGTGCCGTCAACTCCGTGGTTATTACCGACATTCTTCAAAATATTATCAAATTATTTATTTTTTAGGTGAATTATCCCTTTAAACCAGAGACACTTTTAAAACCTGTTGTGAAACTAGCCTAATGACAATTTAAGGACAAAATGCAGTGTGTTCATATTGCATAATTGTTGCATAACTTTCTATAATCATGTAAACTAGATTTAGCCTTCCTCTGTGTGCTGTTTACTTGATCCGACCAATCGGCATCAAGCAAGTTTTATAATCATAATTTGTTCATTTTGTGAACTTAAGTCTCAATTTTACAGATTGATTAAGTTTTTGATTGTGTTTTGATGGGTGGAGAGAGAAAGTTCAGCTGTCACACTGTGTTTCCTGCCGTTCTGGGCTTTTAATTAAGCTTTGCTCATTTCCTCCTTTCTTTGCAGACTATCAGCTGCGGACTCAGTAAACGGGAGGAATTGGTCCAGAGCATCATGGGTCAAGGATGTGTGTGTCTCTCTCTCTTTCTCTCTTTCTCACACTCATCTGCAGTAGTGCTTTTGGCTAGATCTTAGGCTAGATTTTGCCCAAATTTTCCAGAGTACAAAGACCCTGAACATCAGAAAAGGCAGATAGATGAATCTTACGAAACACTCCAGAACATTTGAATCATATGAATCTTTATTTTTTTTAGTATCGTTACATTATAATCATGATAATTAATCACATTCCCCTTCAAATTCTAATTGATTCTTTTGATTTTGTATTGAAATATGAGCCTTTGAGAGGATTCTGTACTGAAATCAGTTCAGGGTCCGAAACTTCACAAACTGCAGATGTGTGTGTTCAGTTCAGTTCTGTCGTGTCATTTGACAGTTACCGGGAATCATGTTCATGAAAACGCCGGGTTCACGTCACATCTCGAGGCGGAAGCGTTCATACGCGTTACATTTCAGAGGACGATGTTTCCATACTGTGGTTATTTATCCGTTGAATGTTGCACATTACAGTGTTCAAGTCCAAAAAGGTCAACTGAATAGAAATATTATAGTCTGTAAATGCAAATTGAACCGTTTTACATGAGCCAATCCAGTAGTGAGTTTTTGGGGATGTCCTTTTGTCAGTATTTTTGTTATTTTCTAGTGTAGTATTCATGTGCTCATGGTTCAGTATTATTGGTTACGGTAGCGGCTGCTCTGGGATCTGTTCACAGTACCTCATGTGAGTTTACTACGCAGAATTAAAACTATTCAACGCGACTCGAATCTAAAATCAACCATCGTGCCATTTTGAAAGTAGAAGAATAGTTGTTTTCTTTTGTATTACTAATTTGATTATTTGTCCAGTTCATTTCATTTGCCTTTGAAGGATTGAATGTGAAGGTTACCATGTTTACTATGGTACTGCATGCAGTGTATCTGAAATGTGACAGTTGCATTCCTCTCAGAATCGTCCTGTATCTCATTTAAATTATTCACCTGTCTGTACACGTCAAGCATCATAAAGTACCTGTTTAGAAAACCTGTTTTTTTTTTAAATGTCCAATTTGTTCTGCCCACTTTGACACATTTGATAGACAACCACAGTTTGTTTTAATATTGTCACAGAGGTCAAGGGTGTGGAAAGTCTTCACATTCCAGGATTTTCTCCATATAATGGACTTCAATGGGGACCAAACTGTTCAAGGTCCAAATGAGAGTTTCAGTGAAGCTCAAAGGGCTTTAAATGACACCAGGCGATGAATAAGGGTCTTATCAAGCGAAACGATCGCTCATTTAAAAAAAAAAAAAAAAAAAAAACAAAGTTTAAGTTTTAGAAGCACAAATGCTCGCCTTGCTCTCTTCTGTGATGCGCGTTCGTGACTCTCCTTTTCGAACTTGTTCATCAAAATGAATGAATCTTTTTTCAAGTCATGACTCGAAGGTTCCTAGATAAGACCCTTATTCATCGTCTGGTGTCGTTTAAAGTCCTTTGAAGCTGCACTGAAACTCTCATTTGGACCTTGAACAGTTTGGTCCCCATTGAAGTCCATTATATTGTTTTCATCAAAAACCTTAATTTCTTTTCGACTGAAGAAAGAATGACATGGACTTCTTGGATGACATGGGGGTGAGCAAATTATCAGCAAACATTTTTTTAAAAGTGAACTACTCCTTTAAAGTAGTCAGTGGTTTGAGTGAGGAAAGTAATGACCAAACTTGCCCTTTTATTTCGACGCGTTTCCCTTTGTTGTATCTCTCGGCCCATGTTCATGACTCAACCAACATGTCTAATGCATAAGCCGCCTTATTTTTATTTCAATAATAATTGTTCCGTTTTTTGTTTTGTTTTTTCCCATTACTCTCGGTATTGGTTGTGTTGTACAAGATCGAGCTGCTCAAGCTTTGAAAGATTATATAAGGATAATCAGATATATGATGATAATTACGCCCACATTTTAACATTCATTTCTCCTGGCACGGGGCTTAGTTTAATTGTTCTGCAAAACGTTCCCTTATTGCGGAGGCGGAATATAGTGTCACGAAATCAAGTTTCGGTTATTCTGGAAAAGTGGAGAATGTCGTGTAAAATTGCTTGTTAAAATTTCACCGGTTGTTTTTTTTTTTTTTAATAATTAATACTTTTATTCAGCAAAGATGCTTTTCAAGTGACAGGAAAGACATTTATAATCGGTTTCAAATAAACGCTGCTCTTTTAAACGTGTTATTCATCAGAAACCTGAAAAAATATGAAGCAGCACAACCGTTTTCAACATTGATGATAATCATAAATGTCTCACATCATCATATTGTGATTTCTGAAGGATCATGTGCAAATTCAGCTTTGATCACTATATACAGCACTCTAAAAATTGCTGGGTTGTTTGAACCCAATTTTGGGTCAAATGTGCATGGACAAACTCAAACATTGGGTTAAAAATGTAACCAAATGGTTGGGTTTGTCTATATTTTACCCAAAATTGGGTTCAAACAACCCAGCATTTGTTTAGAGTGTATATTCACATAGAAAAGTTGTTTTAAATATAAATCTTCACTGTATTTTTGATGTACACTCTCAGAAAAAAGGTACAAAAGTTGTCACCAGGGCTGTACCTTTTCAAAAGGTAAACTTTTTCCATTTTAGGTGCTAATATGTACATTTTTAGGTGCTAATATGTACAATTTAGGTGCTAAAATGTTCATTTTAGGTCCTTATGTGTACATTGTAGGTGCTATTATGTACATTTAGGTGCTAATATGTACATTTAGGTGCTAATATGTTCATTTTAGGTCCTAATGTGTACATTTTAGGTGCTATTATGTAGATTTAGGTGCTAATATGTTCATTTTAGGTCCTGATGTGTACATTTTAGGTGCTATTATGTACATTTAGGTGCTAATATGTTCATTTTAGGTCCTGATGTGTACATTTTAGGTGCTATTATGTACATTTAGGTGCTAATATGTTCATTTTAGGTCCTGATGTGTACATTTTAGGTGCTATTATGTACATTTTAGGTGCTAATATGTTCATTTTAGGTCCTAATGTGTACATTTTAGGTGCTATTATGTACATTTAGGTGCTAATATGTACATTTTAGGTGCTATTATGTACATTTAGGTGCTAATATGTACATTTTAGGTGCTAATATATATCATTAAGGTACCAATATGCATCCTTTACGTACAAAAGTGTACCGTTTGAAAAGGTACAGCCCCAGTGACAGCTTTTGGACCTTTTTTTCCGAGAGTGTCTTGGTGAGATGAAACTAAAATATCTTACCATTCAATTTTATTGCATAAAATTGAAGTTGGCATAAGCTTTAATAGACAATGTTGCATATCTTATTTACTGTGTTTGACCATCCTGATATAGGAATGTTTGCTGTTGGTAAAAATGTATTGGTATTATGCATTTGTTATGGTAACATGAGCGCATCCTCTGGATCATCAGGTTTGTGTGGGAGTAGAACAGGACTAAATCTTTTGTCTTCGTTCCGCAGGTGTAAGTGCGTAGAAACAGGTAAAGCACACTTACACACTTCTACATCCGTCATTCATACCGATCGCATTCCCCAAAGCAGGTTCCCACAGAAAACCAGCGGTTCAGTCCCCAATGGGGATTAAATCACTGACCGGAACTTTTCCTGGCACCTTTTCCTCTGTGATGTTTGGCACGTTCACTGGGATCTGGCAAACAAGAGAGCTACACTGGAGGAAAACACTAATTTCGCTTGTAAAATTACATGCCAAGTAGCAGAATTAAACATGAAACTTACAAGTACTTTAATAATCTTTGCTTTTAACTGTGAAAAATCATTTTTACAGTGAATATGCCTTTAGGCTACTAAATTTATCAAATTGGGTCCAAAAGTCAGAGACCTCTTTTTGAATTAAACTTGGTATAAAATATAAAAGACAAATATTTCAGGTTTTTCCACTTTATAATATTGTTAACATGATAAACTGCACTTCTACAGCATTTGTTAAATATTCATTTCAACATTTGCTAATGCATTATTAAAATCAAAAGTTGTATTTTCTTAACATTAGTTAATGCACTGTGAACAAACAACAAACAGTTGTATTTTTTTTATAAACTAATGTTAATGAAGATCAACAAATACAGTAAAGAATTGCACAGTGTTGGTTAATAGCCTATAGTACACTCTAAAAATTGTTGGGTTGTTTTAACCCAAGTTTGGGTCAAATATTGACAAACCCAGCCATTGGGTTACATTTTTTAATTACATTTTTAACCCAACGTTTGTCCATATATTTAACCCAAAGTTGGGTTAAAACAACCTAGCATTTTTAGAGTGTAATGTTAACTAATGAAACCTATTATGGATTGTCTTCATCCATTGCGTCAAATAACATGATCATCAGGGCATAAAAACAAAGGAGAAACTCGATCATTTGTATTGAGAACATTGCATTAAATTAAAAACGCACTAATGCTCTTAGACTTTTGGGGCCGATTATTATTAAATTCACGTGTGTTATGGCACTTGGTTTTCATAACAGGTGCATAATCTATTATATAGGCTATATATAATTTCATTTCCGCCGTGCATGGGATGAAATCAGGGCAGTGTTATGTATACATGTCAACGGGTTTAACTATGATAAACCCACGGGGTAATAAAGCATCCCGTGCGTGAGTTTTACTGACTGTAATTTCACACTATTATGAAACTGGAAGAGATAAGCGTTGTTTCACAATGTCAGACAGCGTGGCGTTTCACCGGGTCACACAAAAGGAGCGTCGCGACTCGCACGGAACCCCCGTGTTATGTTTCTACACGGAATCCTGTTGCCGAGCAACCCGGGGCGCGCGAGGGAAGCCCTGCGCGCGTGACGTCAAGCACAGGTTGTTCTCTCATCTTTTAGATGCCATTGAAAAGTTAAGTGAGTCAATAGGGATAAAAGGCGACCGGAAGGAATCCATCCTTTAATGTTATTACGCAAAACTAGCCTATGTGAAAAATGCAAGATATAATCAAGCAGGTGAACTTACCCTGTAATTTACGATGACGCGCGAGGGCCAACACTCTCTGAAATGAGCTTTAATTAGTGGCCTGAAACTAAGAGCCGTAAATTACTGTGTTGCAGGTAATAAAGCTGATGTGACAAGCCTTTAGCATGAACCTGTAACTGCAGCAGGGAGTATATTGATTTATTAGCCAACATTTCAGCACAAACTGATCTCCACACCTAGTTTTCACCCATTATCCTACCTAAATTTCTCAAATGACTTTATTGGGGATCAATGAGATGTACAGTACAGCAAACCGCCCACAACTATCAAAAAACAGAACTTTATGTATGAGTTTCTGTAGCCCCGCCCCTTTTCCCGCGCCTCGATCGTCGTGTTCTGTCTTCCGGTTTGTGTTTCCTAAGATCTTATCGATTTATGAACGAACCGCTCGTTTTAAAATCTTCTCGGTCTACTGACTTATGTTATGATATGCGCTTACAATATTACAACGTTTCTTAAATCCACTTCAGCGATGCCATTGAAATGCTACCACAATAACGGAAGTTCAAAGATGGCTGCGCGCGCGTAAGGTCTAAAAAATTCACAAATTCCAGATTCACAATATAAATGCTGGTTTCAACCCACATACCCTACTTTGTGGGTCAAATATGGACAAATTAAATGGGTTGTGTTTGTCCATATTTGATCCAAATGCTATGAGTTAAAACAACACAGTATTTTTAAGTGTTTAGTTTATGTTTATTTTAAGTTTTTCCTTCTATTGAATCATAAAAAGTTTCACTTTGGATATTTTTTTTATTATTCACTCTAATAAATGCTGGGTTGTGTCCAACCATGTTTGGACAAATATGGACAAACCCAACCAATTGGTTTACATTCTCACAACATAGGTGGAAACAACCCAGCATTTTTTAGAGTGATGTTTGTTAAATGTGCAAATGCTTAACGTTTGACGTAAACATAATGAGCAATTTGTTCTCGTGTTTCATTAGGCCTAAAAGCTAAAAGTATTCTTGCATTGTAGATTTTAATGAGGTGTTTCAA